ACACACACACACACACATATACATACACACACACACACACACATACATATATACACACACACACAAAAATGGGGTCTGATGATTTCTGCCTATACAAATTGCTGAAAAATTACAAATAATCCATTGGGAGTTTAAAACTAAAACTTTTTTAGTTGGCTGATGGAATGAATTATTCACGCATTGGTTTTGCTACTGTTTTAAAGAAAACCCAGCTAGCTGCACATATACACATAGACACACACACACACACCTTGAGGAACTACACAGATCTTGTTACCATATAAGATTATAAAAGGTCAGATGCTGGGCTATCAATCTTGCCTACCTCCTTTGGTTATACTTATGAGAGAGTCCCAGGTAGGATATCAAGTAACCAGAAGATAACATTCCTTGCAAATCCTACCAGTAAATCTGAGAGGCATTTGCTAAACTTGTAGGCAACATTTGGTCACAGTTGTTCAAGTCAAAGGCAGTTAAAACTTCTTTATAGTTAAAATAAAAGAGCAAGGGATCTCTTAAACAAGCACTCTGCATACTAATTAATGACCCTCCTCAGTACAGGGGGCTAATTATGCAGACTGATCTGTTTGATGATGTGTTGAAAGAGTGAAAGTCATCACCTTGGGTTTTAGCATCTTTTCTGTGAAGCGCTCCCCTTTTATCCAGCACTTTTGAAAATGGTTAGAAATGGTAGCACGGAGATGGTAAGAGTAACAACTGGTTTACATGAAAAGAAGGTGCATTAGGGAACAGAGGCACAGCACAAAGATTAAACTGCTGTGACTTATGAAGTAGCTTTCTTAAGCTCGTAGAACTGTGCACATATAGTAGGCCTACATTTCTTCCTCAATTTAAGATTTATTAGTGTTCCTCCAAAACAATCTTCTTAAATAAGGTAACCTCCAGAACAGCTGGTAACACATGTAATAGGACCCAGTCCAGCCCCCACTGAAATCAATGGCAAGACTCCTGTTGACTATAGTGAGAATCAGATCAGGTCCCTACATATAGCAGACAACACCAAAATGTAATTTCCATAGTCCAAGGAAGCACCTTAAAAATGCTGCTAAGAATGCCTCAGAGTCTTAGAAGGGAAAGATCATTACATATCTTTACAGCTTGCTTATTATTTCTGTGTATTATTACATTTTTGTGCATTTCAGTGAGTTTGGACAAAGGCCCTGATCCTGCATCATAATCCAATACTGTAATTCCTTGATACATGTGTCAGGTCCACGGTGCTCCACAGAGTCATAAGGAAACTTGCTAACAGATCACTGTACAGGATTGGGGCCTAAAGCTGGTTACTTGCCCTTTTGTTTCTAGTCTGTTACACTTCCTGACTGATTGCATTTGAGCCCCGCTGCTGGGTAGGGATTCAGAGCATCACACAAGGATATATTTAAATAAAAGCATGTTCAAACCTTATGTCTTATCATTATCACCATACAGTGTTAGGTTTTGCCATCACTAGTGTTAAAAGTAGCACCTAAGGTTACTGTAACTGAAACACTGGTGAGAAGAAATATGTTTCTCTCTGCTTTTAATTGGCTTACTTTTTTCATTTGATGTTTTGTACCTAGGCAGTTTCATTGTGTTTTCTTACTCAGTTTCTTTTTAGGTGAAGGGCTACCACAGCAGCAGGCAAGAGAATGCTTTTAAAATTAGGAAAAAAGGAATTGCAAGATTTGGCAGTGAGATCCAGGGAGCAGTTTTAAAAGGGGATACTACATTTTCTTAGTTCTCTGCATTTAATTTGGTGGCATCCCCTTATGTTATCTCACCACCAGTATTTTAGTAATGAGTCTAAAACTGGTGCCTAGCACTGATTGATAGAATTTCTTTTGAGAACTGGAATTAGATGAATCTCTTGAAATATAGTACTTAAGAATGAAGAAAATGTTCCTGAAAAGCCAAAAGAAATTATTTTAAGTATTTAATTCACTTGAATCAATATATTATTTCAGTTCAGCAAAGCACTTCCACATTTGCTTCTAAGTCATTTAGTTTTATCAAATCTAGCTTAATACAACATACAGTTAGCTCCCTTTGCACCTACAGAGCCCTTTTCAGCTGATGATCCCAACATGCTTTGCAAAATACAATTAGCTGTGTTTTCCTAATGAGGAAAAAAGGCTCAAAGGGGTGACATGTCTTGTGGGCATGTAGCAATCATGTTACAGCAACAGTTCATGACAGAGCAGCAGCACTGGTAACATGCTTTCAGCAACTGGTGCTGTTTCTGCTGTCTCACGAGAACCTGCTCCAATACCAAAGTTAAAGTACCTGACCTCACTTACATGAGCACTTCCGTCATTACTATCACTCACCTTTTGCAGGACCACTATTCCCAAGCAGATGATTGATGAATCATAACAAGAAGATAACTCCCCTGTAACAACTGCACTCTTCACTAGCGTGTCATTATGGATTGTGCCTGTACAATAAGCAATGTGTGATCACGACATGCTTGTAGTGTATTCTTATACTTGTCCTTAGATGAGTAGATGGCCAGGTTTCCACTTCTGGTAAGATCCTTTCTAAAGGTTCAAGCAATCAACAAGTTCCTGATATTGCCAAGCAGTACTCTTGCGGTGCTTCCTAGCCTTTCTTTGCATTGGAATACCATGCCCTGTGCCCTAAGTATGGTGTCTTTGAAGAACAAAGCTTATGGACACCTATGGTCTCTTTGGGGAACAACCAATTCTCCTGCACTTTTTCCCTCAGATTCGCCTCTCAAATAATCTGCTTATGAGATCTGCCTAAGTCTCCTCTCCTGCAGTTTGCTTGGTTTTGTTTTTTACTCTTCTGCTTGCTTTCTTTCTTTCATTTAGATCATGAACTTTGTCATTTCATGATCGCAGTTACAGCAGTTTCTGTTCACGTTCAGGTTCTCAAACAAGTCCACCCTACTACTAAGGAAAAAATTAAGAAGAATCTGCCTCAGGTAGTTTCCTCTTTATCTGTGCCAAGAAGTTGTTCTCAGCACAGTTTAAGTACTTGCTGGGCTGTCTATTCTCTGGTATGCAAGTTTTTCCAACAGATATCACAGGAATCCAGGTCTCCCATAACCACCAGATCCTACAATTTGGACACTGCAGTTAATTATTTAACAAAAAAACCCACAAAACACCTCATCCACCTCTTCTTCCTGGTTGGGTGGTCTATAGAAGACAACTACTGTGACATTGGCCTTGATATTTTCTTTTCTTTATCTTGACCCAGAGACTCTTAATAGGTCTACCTCCCATTTTGTCCTTGTCCTCAAAATAATGATCTTATTTAATATACAAGGCAATGTGTGTATATTAAATATATATCAATATTGCAGTGACGTGAGCTATCCCCAAGCCTGTTACCAAGCCTCAGTTACTTCAAGTCAGTTATAGTTATTGCTGTGTACTAAGACTTCTGGCTCTTCCTGCTTATTCCTCATACTTCTTGCATTAGTATTAAGCATCTAATATAATTAGCAGGCTGAACCACCAGCTTCCCTCTTCTGATCTTCCCTCTCCTTGCCAGGTTTCCTCCTAGTCCTGGATCTTTATCCAGGTCACAATGAAAGCCTGTGCCACTAGCCCTCAAACTCACTATAAAGCTTTTCTCCCTAGGCCGGCACAATCCCCCAGGCCCCAGGGAAGCATGGGGCACCCCCACAGCTGGGAGCTCCTCATCCAGGCTCCCACTGCACCAGCAATAAGGTGTGGTGAGATCTAATGAGCAATCCCACAGTTGCAACTTCTGTCATGCACATGTGGCATGGCAGAAGAGTGACTGTGTGGATCGCAAATTAGATTCCATTGCTCCTTTGTCTGCATGTGTAGAAGGGGCCTTAGGCAGTCCTGGATCTGTACTCCCCTAGCATTTCATTTATGAAGTCTAGTCCTGGTGAGCACTTAGCTCTAAGTATCTCACTTTAAAATGTTCATTTTGTCTGTGAAGTTTGTCCAAAAACTTATTAGACTATAACATTTCATCACAATGAAATTTTTCCAGCAATCCACCTATGAGAGGCCTGGATAAATGACCTATAGAGATGCTGGTTTATACTTAATAGGCTCCATGTATGCCTACATATGTAGAGTTCCCCTAACTCTCTGGGGTCAGAGGCCCCATGATGTTCAAGAGAGCAGCTGCTGTCTGTATCATGGTTTCCCCTAGCCAAGTGGATACCTGCAAAGGAGCTCCTCCTTGCAAAAGTGATTCCAACTTAGAGGACAGAGAGAGTGGGAATGCGCTCTTAAGGGAGTTGTATTTCCAGATGGCGGGGAGAAGGCAGAAGGAAGCACCAAGGAGAGAAGACCTCACTGCAAAAGTTAGAATTTCCTCTTCTACTGGTTTCCTGACAGACATGCACTTGGATTCCTCCATCCTCCAGCTCTGTTGCATCTCCTCAGCCATGAGAAGAGTATGAGGCAGCATTTGGCGAAAGACAAGACCACATCCCTGATTTGCCCTTGGTAGTTCAAAAGCAGTAC